CCATTCATTCTTTCAAATGAAAAGCACCAAAAAGAATAAAGAGGACCATAATCAAGACAGCATTGCTTAATATGAAGAGAATAATGGAGATTTGGTGATATTTTTTCTTTTCCATATTCATTTTCTATTTGCTTGTTAAGTAAAATTAAACGTTTATGTGCCTCTTCTAATAAATCTTTGTTAATAATTCTGCTAACTAATATTGTACAAATTCTAACAAAATTTGTTAAAATGTCTCTATCTGGTGGTAAAAGAAAATCCCATAAACATGGTGTTGCATAAATTAGAAAAAAATTTTTCCATTCATCAGCTGTTAGATTAGAAAATCCTTGACCACAATTAATCTTTCTAGGAATTCGACCTAACTCTGATGGAACTTTAATTTTGGACATTTTTTCTTGAATTAAATTTAATTCTCGAGGTTTTAGTCTGCCAAAATTGATCCATAAATTTTTAACAATCCATTTAGCAACACCTAAAAATAAACAATGCATTGGATCTATTGGCAAAAAACGAATAGGATCAAGATAAGTCAGACGAAGCAGTTCGGACCACTGTGCATGTGTAGAACTTGTGTGTTTATTTCTACCTGAAGCTGTATAACACTTTCTCCATTGGTTTGTATTTTGTCGATGATTAAATGAATCTTTATCAACAAACCATGTGTCAATATCATCAATTCCTCCAAAATGATGAGATTTTTTTTCAAATTTTGCTTGTTTTTTACATCTATGACAAGCTACTAATGGAGAAATATGTCCAAGCAACTTTCAACCAGCTGGTAGATCACATATACATGAAATTAAAGCACCACGAATTTTTTTTCCTGATGAGCATTCATGAGTTGATACATTAATACCTTGCCAGATTTCATTTAAATCATCTACAATTGGTGATAAATAATGATTTATTTGGTGCAATTTCACTTCTTTAGGACCTAATAAAAGTTAATATTAGATATAATTAATTTAAGTTTAAATTTAGTTATTTTATAATAAAAATAAATATTAGATTTAATTTAATTTAGATTAATTTAATTTAGTTCAAATTTAGTTATTTACCTGGTAATATACCAACTACCATTATATTTTCAATTTTAAAACGAATATCTCTTGGCAAATTACAAATTGCAATATAAATTGCACCAATACTATATTGAGATCTTTTATATGGTTGAAACCAATCCAAATTTAGCATAAAACCAAGATGTGTATCTGCAAACTCATGAGTAAAAAAAGGTTTATTACTATTTAACTCATCAGAAAATTCATTCCATATTTTGCCATCATAAATATCTAAAAGTATATTATTATTAACTACTCGCGTAGTCCATTTACGACATGCTTCTTCAAAACCAGGTCTCTTATACATTCTTGATAAATGATTCTTTATACTTGAAAATGGATATAATAAAATTGGTTTATTTACAATTTTACTATTTAATCTTCGATGTTGAGTTACTAAATCTGAATTGCAAGTAACAATTTGATGAGACCTTGTAATATTTGGAAATTTAACATGACTACACTTTTGAATTGCCAAAGAACCACTATTATCCGTGAATTTAATAACATCATCTGGATTATATAATTTATGACAACTAGGACATGCTAAATATGTTAAAAAATTATCATTTTTATTGTCATCTATGTTAAAATATTCTTGCGCTTTATCTAATGTTTTTGGAAACAACTGAAATTTTTCTTTATCATTATAAATTTCTGTAAAGATTAATTTTTGAAATTTAATTAAGGAGTTTGTTTGTACTTTAGGAAGACGACATCGTCTTTGAAATTTTAAAATCCAAAGTATTATCCATTCATGGTCTGGATATAGTGAAACAAAATCTGTATATACAGATTTTGAATAACTATTAGCCTTTGGAGCTGAATAATCTTCATAAATATCTCGATTATTATATTTAATAGTTGGCACTTCATCTATCCACTCATTATCATCATCATTTGTAGATTCTAAAATTTCATTTGACCATTCATCATCATTATTATTAGTATTAGAACTATCAATGCTACTTGACTCCAAGTTATCAGAATTATCAGAATTATCAGAAACTTCAGAATCATCCAAATATTCAATCTCTACTTTGTATCTTTTTTTTTGTTGAATTGATTGGATTGAATTTCTTGTATGACGCTTTTTAGAAGGTAGAGATTGATTAGTACAACTAGTTAAAGATTTATTATAACTAATTGAAGGTTCAATACAATTAGTTAATGATTCATTATAACTAGTTGAACATTTGGTATCATTAGTTGAGGATTCAATATAGCTAGTTGAAGATTCGACATGACTAGTTGAAGATTTAGTGCAGCTACTACTAATTTGCTTAACAAAATTTAATTTGTTTTTAGAAACACTATGCAATTGTTTAGTACGAGGATCAACCTTTTTACCCTTACATTTGTCACCGCAATAACAATTAACAAAAGACCGAATTGATTTTTTTGGTATTAAATTTATAGGTCAAGTTAAGGAAGGTTTACTACTTGAATTTGAAAAAATATTTTTAATACTTTGATTTTTATTTCTATTTATCGTGAAAGAAATATATAAATATTAATTTTGGGTTATTAAACACTATATAAATATTAAAAAGCAAAATTAAAAGTTTGTAAACTTTTCAAAAAACTCAAAGTGAAGAATTGTAAATATTTAATTAAATTTTTATTTTTTTGTAATTTATTAGACCTTATATAAATTAATTACATAATAAAATAATAAAATTTATTTTCTCATATTTTAAACATAATGTAGAAAAAGATACTATAAGTAAAAACATAATTCTTAAAGTAGCATATTTGTTATCGTTATTTCAAAAATTGTATTCTCTAAAAATAATTTTGAATAATATCCATACATCTTGATACGTATGAGTTAAACATATAGGCTAATTCACAGTATGCATATAAGCCAAATAAAAAATTTTTAATAGTGTGACAGTTCATTTAGACAAATGATTAGAAAATTAATTATATTTTTAAGACTGAAGATTTATTTTTGACTCTTACTCATAATAATAACGATGTCAAATGATATATATTAGTAGGCCAAGGCTAATGAATTAGATGATAATCTAATAGGTTTTAAAGAGCATTTTATGCATTTGATGCATATTTATTAAACTCTTTTTGCAGAATAGTACAGAATAAACCCTCAATAGATTTAGGACGTTCTCAAGCACCTATCTCAATAAAAGATCTGATTGACTAATTTGATCAGACAGACCAATCAGATTCGTTATTAAGTCCATTGAGATAGGTGCTTGAGAACGCCCATAATTATAATATGTATCATAATACTAATAATTATCAGACCAATAAAAAAAAATCAAATAGTGTAAATTAAATTTAAATTTAGTGACTCTTTTCAGGGTCCAATGTCACCGATTAGCCCATATGATTGTGTGAAATCTTTATTCAGAAATTAATTGTAGTTTAAATTAAATTTGGTGCTTATACATGCGCCTTATATAACATATCAGCAAATTTGCATATAAGCTAATTTGGAATATACGTAGTCTACGTAGTCCAAAATTTTTTGATACCGGGTTAGGTTATTTAACACTATACAGTATATATTACTATATAACTATATATCGATATATAGAACTATATACAGTATATAGATGGTATTTATCTGTTATACTGTATATGGTATGTATATAAGAAAATAATACGTACCAGGCACTACGTATTTGTTTGCTATATCAAATAAATAACTTTATATATAGAATTTAGACTAATTGTTTTGGTTAAATTAGTGAGTTTCTTGCATAATCTTATATTCTTTAACTATTTAGGGTTTATTGAGCAATTGTTCTGTATAGCGTACCAATTAAAAAAAGATTAATTATAAGGTTTAAAAATAATTTAGTGTCTCTAGGTCCAATCATAAATGTAATGGTATATTATTTATAATTAAATTAAAACCGGATAACTAATATTAATCGGATGTCCGGATTCATATCCGGTATAATGAATTAATTATAACTTTTTCGTTTATACATAATTGAACATCAAACTAACTTAATATATCAATTAGCGTTTTATTAGTAAAAATTTGTTTATTTTGGCCAAAATTATTGTAGTTTTCGAAATAGTAGAAATGAGTAAAAAAAATTCTCTAGTATACCTGTATATTGTGTATACTCATATCGGATTACCTTAGCACGTTGATTTAAGATCGATGTTTCAAACAATAAGTACGTATGTATGTAATCAAACATCGATTTTAAATCAACATGCTAAGGTAATCTGATATATGAGTATACACAATATATAGGTATACTAGAGAATTTTTTTTTTTTTTTTTTTTACTCATTTCTACTATTTTAAAAACTGCAATAATTTGGTTCAGAAGCTCAGGTTACATAAAAAAAGCAATTTTTTTTGGACATCACTAACCTACTACACTTTGGGGGCCGCTCTGGCTAAGGGTGCTTCCAGATATTAGGTAGATATAGTCACCCCAAAGTCAGTCGTTTAACACAATCGTTTGACAATTGCAAATTCGATTACTTTAGAACTTGTAATTGTCAAACGATTGATTATTTTAGAACTTGTAATTGTCAAATGATTGTGTCAAACGACGGACTCTAGGGGCTATATTTACGTAATAAGTGACAGTTCCTAGGGAACTGTCAGTTATTACGTAAATATAGCCCCCCTCCCGAGTTAGTCATTTGACAATTACAAGTTCTAAAGTAATCAATCGTTTGACAATTCAAGCTCTAAAATAACCAAATAGAGTTTATATTATGATTACTTTAGAATTTGTAATTGTCAAATGACTGCCTCTGGAGGGGGGCTATATTTACGTAATAACTGACAGTTCTCTATATGTACGTAGACAATTTGGAATCGATTTTTGATTAGTATAATTATTGTGCTAATGTAGTTAAGTTAGTGTTGTTAGTCAACCAAATCATCGATTGATCATCGGTTAATATCATATTTAAAAACAATAAAATATGCAAAAATATGCAACATGTTTCTACATATCTCATTGTTCAAAAGTGTAATATTAGTTGACGACTAAGCCGGCTAACAACATTAAGTTGAGTATTCGAGTATTTACTAACACTTATTACGTAAATATAGCCTCCTCAGAGTTAGTCTTTTGACAATTACAAATTCTAATGTAATCAATTTTATCAATCACAGTTTTCAATTACATTAGAATTTGTAATTGTCAATAACTGACTGGGGGAGGCTATATTTATGTAATAAGTTTTAATTCCCTAATTGAATAGCAGCATTTATTACAGTTTTCGAAATGGTTGAAAATGGATAAAAAATTTTTTTGAATACACTTATATTCAAATTACTTTAGCACATCGATTGAAGATTAATGCTTGATTTACTTAGTGTTTCAATTTTTTTTGCCTATTTTCAACCATTTTGAAAACCACAATAATTATAACATTTTATTCTTGCCTTCAATTAAACAAAAATTGCTTTATTATTTTTTTCTAATTGTTCATAAATTTGATATATCAAAATTCTTAGGGAACTGTCACTTATTACGTAAATATAGCCCCCCTCCAGAGGCAGTCATTTGACAATTACAAGTTCTAAAGTAATCATAATATAAACTTTATACGATTGGTTATTTTAGAGCTTGCAATTGTCAAACGATTGATTACTTTAGAACTTGTAATTGTCAAATGACTGACTCGGGAGGGGGGCTATATTTACGTAATAAGTGACAGTTCCCTTATGATTACTTTAGCAGAATCTTTCTAAAATTAAATAATTTTATGTTTTAATGTATTCAAAACTATATTAATGAAAATATAAAATATTTATAAATTATATTGCTAACAAAATTCATATAAAGAACTAAGCTAAATTATTATTATTATTTTTTTTTATTTCGCAATTTATATTCTAATCTTTATCAAATAACAAAACTTATAAAAAATTTTTTGATTTTTGTAATCTTTACTTTTATCTCAATTTTATATCAAATGTCATCATCATTATCTTTATCTTTACCTTCACAACCTTCATCACAATCTTCATTACGACCTTCCAAATCTTCAGATTTACGACCTTCTAAACCTTCAGATTTACACAAAATAACACGATCTTCCAAATCTTCAGATTTACGACCTTCAAAATCTTCATATTCACACCAAATATCACGACCTTCCAAATCTTCATATTCACACCAAATATCACAACCTTCACAATCTTCATCTTCAAAAAATACAAGTGATACTGAATATATAAATAAACTAAAAGATCAAATTTATAAACTTGAAAATGGTAAAAATCCAATTAAAATTTATGGATTTTACTACAGAATCCTGATAGCCAAATTGGTTATAATATATAAAATATTATATATTCATAATATCATGTTATATAACACCTATATAGCCTGAATTGGAGTTAGATTTAGGTTGGGTTAATGTTGTTAGTCAAAATTGTTTTTGCTAATGTCAAAATTTGCCTAAATTAATTTGTCTAAATGTCTAAAAGTCAAAATTAAATTTTATTTATTTTTTTATAATAATTTTTACAAAAATAACAATGTCGAAATTGTTTAAATTCAATTTGTCTAAATGTCTAAATGTTAAAATAATTTCGACTAACAACGCTAGGTTGGGTGCAACTATAATATAAATATGAGGTTTTTATATAATATAGATATAAGTCCCATAAGGTCCCAATTTCAGTTCTTGTGAGGTTTTTGGGCCCTGAACATTTTTACTTTGAATACCCGATCCTGTTTACTTAGTATGTTTTTGAGATATAGCATAAAGTGTTATATAATACTGGTGTTATGAATATAACTTTCCATAATATATATATTAATAATTTGTTTTTTTATAAAGATGTTTTACAATGGCAAAATACAGCAAATGTCCATGAAAATTATATAAATATGTTAGAGGACAAGATCAAAATTCTTGAAAAAGATATAGAAAACAACTATAAAGGTTATATATATGAATTAGAGGATAAGATTAAAAGTCTTGAAGAAGAAAATGATAATATACAGTTATTAAATCATACTAAAAAAGATTCAAAAAATAAGATAGATCTGACTACACGAAAAGAACTAAGAGTAAAACTTTAAATTTAATTACCATATAATTTCTAAAAACCATTTTTCAATTAAACTAATTTTTTAAATTATATACAGTATAAAATATTTGAAGTATTAAAAGAAAAGGGGCCAAAATATAGTTTTAATATCAAAAAACCTTGGTGTAATCAAGAAGAATGGATCGTCAAAAATACGATTCCATTATTGCAAGACTTGGGACTTGAATACAATGTAACAAATAAATATTTGTTACAAATTTTAGAACAAAGACACAGGTCACAGCGTAAAATGTTAAAAGTCAAACTCGATCCAGAAAAATATGAACTATTTAAAAAAAGAACTCATAAAAATAATCATCACTCTGAGGTATGTTATTTGCTAATTATTTTAAAATTTAGTTAAATTTATAAATAATTAATTTTGTCTTGTAGAAATTATTGCGACGTGCAAAAGCATTAAATTTTCTTCAGAGTACAGAAAACAAATTAGTTGAAAAATATAATTCTGAAGAGCTAAAAGCTCTTATATGCTCACGTGATGTATACTCTCCAGAAATATCAGATGCAGAAGATTATGACAAAAATAATAAAAAATATATAAACTGTTATAATTTACCCTGGAGGTCAGATGAGGTATAATGTTATAATGAGAGTTTAATAAAATAAATTTTTTTGTATATTTTCTTATTGCTTTTACTATAATTAATAGCTTAAAAAACTTCTACGAAAAGTGCTAGATCCGGTAGCACTCCGTATAGCACCTTTACACCGGTCAAGACGGTATAATGATGAAGTCTATTATATTGAAGATCCAGCACTTCCAACAGATGCTCCTGATTGGGCAGTTAAATCTGAAATTAGGAAGCGCAAACGGAAAAATCAAGAAGTAGTAAATAATAAAAAGCGACAAAGAATTAATGTAGATGAGGATATTTAAATTGTTTTTTTATCATATATATTTTATTTTTTTTTATTTTTTATATATTACAGTCAAACCTCTCTATAATCACACTGTCGGGATCATAGTAACTTTTTTTGAAAATGTGCTTATAGAGAGTATGT